TGCCTACGAAGAGGTGCCCGACTCCCAACCTGTGGAGTTTGAAGAGGTACCACTTGACTCACAGCCTGTAGAGAACCCATCGTATGCCTACGAAGAGGTGCCTGACTCCCAACCCATGGAGATTGAGGAGGTGCTTGACTCGCAGCCAGTGGAGAATCTTGAAGAGGTCCTTGACCCGCAGCCTGTGGTGAATCTTGAAGAGGTCCTTGACCCGCAGCCTGTGGAGAATCCATCGTCTGCCCTGGAAGAAGTACTTGACTCCAAACCCATGGTGGTTGAAGAGGTGTCTGACTCCCGCAAAGAGGTGCCCGACACACAGCCCAATCAGGAAGTGTCGCCTGCATCCTCCGATGCCCCAGTGGCTGAGGCTAAGGGCTTGACCTTCGATGACCACCCTCAGCCTCCTCGGCGGGCACCACACCTGCGCACGACCAAGGAGGAAGAGTTGGAGCGACGTCGGGCGTATGTACTCAGCAAGATCCGGCAAATTACGTGGGGAGTTGATCAAAAAAGTAGTGTGAAACTTATCCTCATTGATAGTCAAAGCATGTCAAACCTTCTAGGTTTTCTAGTGTGCTAGGCGTAAACAAAGTCATCCAAGTGTCTTGGTCTTCCCCTTTCAGGTGGTCTATGGAAGCATAGGTAATCTTTTACTTTTACTCTGTTTGTTTGAAAAAGGTTCTGAACCGCAAAAAGCTCGCATTCTTCTTTTTTGCTTTGCCCAGGTACTGACAACCAGGAGACGCTTCCTATGAATGAAGATGACTTGGCGCAGCCTTTGGCAAGGGCATCCTCTTCCGGTGACATGATCGAGATCGTGGACTCACAGGAGGCGCTAAGTTAAACTCCTTTCAGTTTTGGTTTTGGGTCACTTGAGTCAATTTGGATCCCTGTAATCAGGAGACTCTGGGGCTGCCAACGGCTCAGGCCTTGCGAGAACAGGGTCCAACTTCCGACATGAATGTGGAGAGAGGCATTCACCCTGTGCGTGGAGGACCGCAGGACGTTTTAGAGGTCCAGATGGAGAACGGCACGAACATGGTGAAGGCCCCTGAAAAACCACAAAAGATTGCGGAGGTGAGTGAGCAGAAGGAGGATGTGCCAGTTCATGCTAGCGAACTACCTGGCGCAGAGGAGAACAATGAGAAGAAGAGGAAGGTTGAGAGCATCTGCTACCAGCCTGGGGCATCAACAGATGGAGATGTTTCCATGTTGCTGAACAGTGAGCCCCCAGTGATCCGTCGCCGTGAACAGCTCAATTCTGAGTTCAGGTCCGGGCTGCCAGACGAAGCTGAGGAACGTGAACTTGATGAAGGCGACCATGATGAGGAGAATGAGCCGGAGATGACCCGTGGGAAGCCTGCAGGAAAGGCCAAGGCGAAGGCAAAGAGCCGGCCTAAGGGCAAGGCAAAGGCCAAAGCCAAGGCGAAGGCAAAGGGCCGTCCTTCACCTAAGGGCAAAGCAAAAGCTAAAGCTGCTGCCAAAAGGAAGGCCAAGGCCAAGGCCTCGCCTCAGGCATCCAATGCTGTTGATACTTCAGGTGCTGTCGCGGCAGAGGGTGTGGGTGAGGCAGATGTCAAGAAGAAGGATGGCGCGGCAGAGGGTGTGGGTGAGGCAGATGTCAAGAAGAAGGATGGCAAGGTCAAGACCTTTGCTCGCCGCTATCCTCCGCCCGATGTGCTTGGCCAAGCCCGCCATGCGGCCATTCAGCAGGCCTTTGAGTCAGGGGTGGCTCACAAGGTGATGCGTCAAAGTTCTTTCCAGGCCAGGGTTTTAAATCCGAGTTGTTTTGAGGCTGTTGGGACGTGGTCGGGTTGATTAAACAGAACAAGCATGAACAAGCTATTGGACACCCCTGGCGGTATCAGGACCCTTTCTACAAGCTGTGCATGCGTGCGATGAAGGATCAGCCAGATGCTACCACCTACGAAGCCTGCCTCAAGATTGCCCAGAAGTTGGTGGATCGCTTTCTTGCTGAGGACTCTGTTTGCAACGTGGCTTAAGCACCAAGATCATGTCAACATCCGTCATTTGGTTTTCAACCTCTTGGTGAAACTGTCTGTAGAATCTCGAGTAGTGTTATTTCAATCTTTTGGGGTGCGATGCCGCTTTGTCTGACCTTTAAGGCCAGGCTATGAAGTAGCTTTGCGGCATCTCTCAGCTAGATCGGTATGACCAGCGCAGCTAGACGCTGAGCGGGGGAGCTTGTGCAAGGGGAAGCACAGCGGCGACCTTGATTGGATAGGCTAGTTGCGTGATCTGCTTTTGAGCTCCAATACATGGAGAGATTTTGATTGCCCAACAGAATTCCGCGTGAAACTGTGAGAGCACCCTTAGGCAAGAGACCTTCTTCCCAAATGTTTGTCAAAAGCTCTTGGACAAATTTGGAATGATTTGGGCGTTGCGCTTAGTGACAAGTCTTGGGCCAGTGATGGAACACTGGCTGCTTTGCAAGGAGAATATATTTGCTCTTTCTGTTTTGACTCGTTGGACTTGTGGGACCCATTTGTGGGGCACAGTTGGATCTAAATAGACAGTTGCCCCTGCCGGCACTAAAGTGGGCCCTCCAATGAACCTGTTTTCTTGGCCCTTCAATTTCATGGAGCTTTGCCAGGTGCGGTGCCTTGTCGTAGATCAACAGCCGGCTATGATGGCATCAAGGAGAGAATCGTCCTTGTCTAACTTCTGAACATAGGGTTTGATGGTCCTAAGTGTGCTGGCACAAGTTTGGGAGCCATGTCTGCCGCAGGAGCTGGTCCACCCATGAAGCGTGGGCAGTCTTGTTTGGCAAGATTTGGTGTTCAGACCACTGGAGGTGCCCCTGGCAGTGTTTGACACGAGTGAGAAGTGCTTCTAGCTTTTGAGCAGTGCTTTGACACTTGGACTGTTCATTCCCTGCAGCGTTTGGTAGCTGTCAGCGTGAGGGTATCCATAAGCCATGAAGATCACTGATGCACAGCTAAGCATGGCTGTGCGTCGGATGCTAGTCGTGGGGATTCCGTTGGAGACTTGTCTAGAATAGTCTCCGATGACTAGCAATACGACTCTGTCTTACTAATTAGTTTCAAATTCCAGCCGCCATGTGACTCTTTGTACCCCGATTCTATGTCTACCAAAGCCTCTGAAAGGACTTCATCTACCTCACCTTGATAGCCAGCTGGATTTCAGTCCAGAAGCCGATGGCTGATAAAGCCATTGATGTG